TACCAGAATACAGCAATATTTGGTGTGGTTATTCAATTGGAAGCATAGAATTTATGAAGAACATAGAAAATAAGGATTGAGTAGTCCTAAATATGATTTAAAAGTGAAATTTATCGAAATGAAAAAGAAAAAAAAAATTTTTTTTTTTTTTTTTTTTTTTTAAAAAAAATTTTTTTTTAAATATATGCTTACTTTTGTACCAATGTAAGCAGCACCAAAATTATACGTCGGTGGTGTTAAAGTTGAACCCATGGAGAAGGAATGCGTGACTTGTAAATTTTGTGATAAAACTTTGGTGAGATCGGCCCTCCCTCCATCGAATAATTGGTTTGTAAGGAATGTTGCTGCAATGGGAAAATAAAACGAACAGCTATTTCTAAGAATTCTTGCTTATTAACACGCGTATCCACTTTGAATTATCTTCATATGTTGCCGGAATCCAGTAGCTTTATTTAAATGCCCTTTAACTGATTTTTTTCAAAAGATTTATATTTGTGGTTTGTTCGTACCTTTGACCTCACGGTGTAGACCTTCAAAAGTACCTGGATTGGGCAAATTAAGCTTCTCTCTGTATTCCGTTATTCCATTAAAAAGAGAACTTAAACTCCATGACGTGGAAGGAGTTGTCTTTGTAAAAACTTTTTCACCCAAACCGGCCATTATTTTGTACTTTGAAAATGGTCACGCGTCGTCTTTCAAAGGTCAGAGACCAAGACAGAATATCGATGGATAAATTCTCAAAAATTTTAATCATTGTACTACCCAGATCCGTTATGCATATCTAATACTGCATATAAACAGAATCAATCTGGTTTCCCATATTAGAAATATTTTTACCTACGCGTTTCATTATAAACATATTATATTTGAACTTTCTTTAAATTAATTTAAATATATTAATTTTATAATTTATACTTTATCTGTATATTAAAATTACATCATACAAAAAAAGAAAAAAAAAAAAAAAAACTCCAATCTAATGAAATTAAATAAAAACTTTTATATTTGATAGAAATTACACACACGCCCAATTTTTTAGTTTTTTTTTTTTAGTTTTTTTTTTTTTAGTTTTTTTTTTTTAAGAATTAAGTTAGGATTTAAAGTTAAAGTTGTTATAAATATATTCTTACTAACTTATATTACTAATTGCAAGCTATAAAATAGACAAAAATTGTTTGAAAAAAAGTATCTGCTGAAACAATTAGGAAATGTTAGTTCTATATGAAAGTTATATCTCCTTGTAATGAAAGTTGAGTACCTGTTATCTTCTCTATTATTGTTAAAAGTACTGATAATATAGAAGAAAACTTATCTCTTAATTCAAATAATGAATTAATAGTCAAAGAACTTTAGCAACAAATAGGTATATTACTTATTCATAACTCAATACTAATTGAAGATTTACTAAACCTTAAAGAAGAACAAGAAGCATACTACTAATATACTAATGAAGAACTAATTCAAACTACAACAGAAGTATACAGGTAGGAGAGGAATTTGTAATGCTACCTTTAACTAGAGAAAAATAATTGAATATTTTGTATAGTACCTTAAGGATCATAAATGAAAGAATTGATAATAGTAGAGTAATAATGAAATCTTTATACAAGCTACAATCCTGTATTCATCATCTGAATCGTCGTTAGAAGATACGAAGAAGAAATCACCTTTTAAAGGTGACAAATTCAATAACGATAT